AATGTAATTCAGTTCCTTAAAATGTAATTCACTCATTTTCATGCTGGATACATGTAATGTAATGGGAAAACACTTTGCACTCTAACATATCAAGCGTGATATTTATGCATATTTTCGGCTGCTTTGAGCTTTCCAATAATACACCAAACAATAAGATGAAATTGTTTATTTTTCAGCTACAGGAGCTACGTGCTATTACAAGATTATATTTTTAGTATAATAATACACTCTAATTCTCCTATGATTACTAATGATATTCATGAATACAGAAGATAGTTCAGTGAGCAAAACCGTCTAAGYAACAGAATACAAATATTCCGATTCAAAATGAAAGCCCTCGCCAARTAAAGTGGAACAGTCGGAATCGTCATGGTAACAAATGGTGCTAAGGTTGTACTGAACAAACTCCCTCCAAATCAATTGACATCTTTGTACCAGCGGGGGAGGCTGCATAAAGGGTGATCACGAATAGTGCTGTATATCCTTATCCAGCCGATAAAATGGATAACACTCGATACTTAGCGTTTGGCTCACTGTAGCTTACCCTATAAACATGTGTCATTCTCAATATCGGTATCGTATGATATCAGTTAAAATCAACCAATAGAATCACTTTGAAAATCGTTCACGATTCCTGTGTTGCCCTTAGCAATCCCTTTTAAAGAGATTCATCGAGGCAACTCCCAAATGAGAATGCTTACTTGACTACAATGTTGAGTATACGTCAATTTTCGTTTTTTAAACGGTTTCTGGTTATTAATGCAAATATATAGATTTGATTATTTATGTTATGGACTATGAAGAGTTAAAAACACTTAAAAGTCTGCGACATAAATACACTAAATACTCCTTAATTATGCTAATTCTATTGCGTTCTATTGTCTAGATGGGTTTTCATTAACCCGTGAAACACACTTTAGCGTATTTATCGCTATTACACTTTGGCTCTTTTGTTTTTTATTGTCTCTACGCGACTTTTACGATCTRTTACACTCTAATTATTACACTTTGTTTCACGGGTTTATGAAAACCACTCTAGTAAGCAATTAAGTAATAATTAGTGAAAAACATTGCACGCATTTAGTGTTTGTACTCTTACGCCAAGATCACACTTTGTACAGTTTTTCTCTCAAAAAATGCTTAAGGTTTCACAAGGAAAACTTCTTTATGGAATAATTCTATAAAATTTGTCCATCGTATTTGCTCACATCTAGCCTTGTAGTCCTACTTATCAAAAACGACTTTCAAGTCGTCCTTTCGCGGACAAAATCGATATACTTGAACGTGCTCGGCGATCGGTCGGTAGAACTTTTCGCGATTATGGCAGCCATCTTGCATTCTGGTGCTTCCAAAGCATCATGGGATACCAMACAATGGTAAAGTTTAAAACATTCCACGTAATTGCCATAATTAATATACTTTGGAAACAATAAAAATGGTGTCACTGTCGTAAAGCGTCCATTAGAGAAGTGATTTTTTTGAGAAAAACTGTAAGCTTACACTAAGTATTAAGGTTACGTTATCCGAGCGTCGAAGAAGAAAGTCGTGGTCTGTGCTTATGTTGGTCTTCGCTTTTCTTCCACTGCGCACTAGCTATAATTATCTMTGTCTATAGGAATAAATGGTTCAAACAAAGCAGTGTTATTTGTATTTTTGTGGATTCAGACAACGGTGAAAACGGCGACGGTGAAGGGCCAACTGATTATTTGTTCACATGYGAAAGCCTAYATTTGCCAAWACACCTTTTCAGTTGCTCTTAGACCTCGATAGCAAGTTAGATATTCTTTTGAATTTGCTAATTAAGACTATTMATATCAATGTGTKCATTGCTCACATTCCTACAAATTCAAAAGAATATTTAACATGTTGTCGRGGCCTAAGAGCAACTGAAAAGGTGTATTGATCCACGCTTTGTATTTTTAAAGTTTGATTAGGGTAAGATTTCTTCCTTAAACGATTCATTTTTCACAWTTTAAAGTTTAGAAACACTTGGCTTCGAAAMAAACGAGATTGTTTTCCTTACTCGAAGTATACCTTTGTGAATGGCTTTATAYTTTTTCGTGACCCTTCGTGTGCAATCGTTTCATCGCAGCGTGAAATTAACTTCCGTTTTAACCTCGCAACACGAAGCCGGAAATGCTTGCATCCGCATGCGAACGTGGGTTGCGTTAATACGTATCCAGCCGTATCCGTAACTAGTGSGACGCAGCTAGCCTTACGTTAAAGGAATCCTGTGGATGCGGAAATTCTGGTATCCACGCAAGGATCCAAAMGTTTCCAGCCACGTGTCGACTGCATGATTATCATATGATCAATTATCCTAGGTTTATCAAAGATAATTAAGAGTTTATATGCCAAAAAGAAGTCAATCTTTGCCCAAAAACAGTAAGTTATTTTGCCTAAAAACCTCAGGCTGATTGTTGGCCGGATAGCTACCTGCTATCTCCGACAAAGGGACACCGAAAACGACTGACCTTTAGTCTAGGCCTAACATAATAGCATAATAATAATAATAATATTGCAATGCTCTTCACAGGCGAGATGTCAACACGTTTCTGTCAGCCTGTTTGCACTGGACTGTTCACGAGATTTGAGCAATTGGACAAAATGGCAATACAAACTCTGGAAATAACAAAACTCTAATTTATCCACTTAGCGGTGCAGTTTGATACATAACCCCCCCTGATTACACACCTTATTAACTAAATATATACAAAAACATCGAACTTAATGATAGAATTTCTCACTTAAATGTACGTTTTGGTAGCCTGAGTATCAGGCTCTCTCGAAGGGGTTTGGGGCGGAGCGAGAAAGGAGAGAGAGCCTCTCTCTCCTTTCTCGCTCCGCCCCAAACCCCTTCGAGAGAGCCTGATACTCAGGCTAACGTTTTAGCAATGCAAGCCAGTTGGGCAGTTTTTCTAATGGAGCATTATAGTGGCACGGCTTCGAGCATTTACGTGTGATTCAATACAACATGCGCTTCTCACTCAAACAAGAACTGTTTTAGATCTTCCATCACACATACTGTCAGCGTACGAATCACACTTATTTGTCTCACGTTTCATACCCAACTTCAGTGACATCTCGCATTATTCTTAATACAGTTGATCACAGAGAACAATACAAGAGACAGCACAACGTTCACACTCACTGCCATCCTCGGGAGCCTAATGACAATCTTCTAGAACGAGCGACATGCCATTAATCCTGGGTTCCCGAGGAGGGTTCATTGCTTACGTACTCAACAACGCAGCGACGCCATTAATGCAACAAAGCATGATGGGTAATTTAGTCATCGCACTTTAAATTTGCTGACGACAWAATTGAAAGACTGTTTTCTTTTCCACAAAAACTTCACACAGCCACACAACTGCAACAAATAAAGAAAACGACTGTAATTCTTTGGCGACCATGGGAAGTATGAGAAGTACAACTTTCAACATGATTTTTTGCAGAAAATGGCGTTGCAACACGTTGCCTCATAAGGAAGCTTAACAGAAAAAGTCTTTATCATCCACTTAGTGGAGCTAACAATTATTAACAGAAACTTATAAAAAAATGATTGGCTTCCGCCAGAAAAAAACCCTAAACTCTAATAAAAAATTCATCGTCACGACTACCTATGACCTACAAGCCCCTTTCCTCGAGTTCTTTAAGAACGAAAATAGGGCGTTAACTATGACAAGAAAGCTTGAAAACGAAAAAGCTAAAAAGACATCAATAAAACTACTTAATCWCCAACAAAATAATCGACTTCCACACAATGTAAAAATATACGGAAAAATCAGTACCATTTCCATAGTATGGGAATTGTAATGGAGATTTTTAGGTTCGTTCAAAGTCTCTCTCCGATTTCTACTAATATACATACTATGCAAATGGTCTTAATTTTCATATCTTTTACACAGTGTTAAGTCGATTTTTTTTGCTCAGTGTTTTCCTTAGTTATTTGCCTGTAACAATTTACAATTGTCAATTAAAAGTAAAACCAAGGGAACAACAAATACGACATACATCTATACCCTAAACACACTTACGAGCTTTCGGTTTTTAACTTGTTCGAGCGCTGACCGCTGATCGACAAGTTTAAGAAGTACAAGTGGCAGGTCGACATTACGTCATCTGCTATTTATGGATCAAAATCCATTGGTATATTGGACATTAAAGCAATTGTCTTGATTTAACGTCATATAAGAAGTACATGTGGTACGTTACCCTCACTGGGTTTGTGCTTATTCCGATACAGTCTTAGTGTTTGTTGCAAAACACTAGTAAAAGCAAACATTGCGCAATAGCTCTTTGATAAGAACTATTAGTTTTATCTCTTTGATTTACGACTAATGAATTAATACTAGATACCTACTGACTAACTACGAATATTGATTTTAAGGCCTATATCAAAACTCTTGGCCTGTTTGGAATATTTATTACTTATCTTTCTTTTCCAGTCCTCCAAACGATTCCGAGAAGGATCGATCAAGACACTGCAGCCGGTTTGTAAACTCTGCTTGAATTCCCTTCAAGTTGACGCGGAACTGAGACTTGTTTTGTTGGTCTTGGTTCTCTTCCTGTTCACTTGTTTTATTGCGTTCTTGGTTGTCACTTTCGTTGCAAGACTTGTTCCTGTTGTCTTCCTTCTCCTCTTTGACAATAGTACCATTCCTCTCAGTCTCCCCATCTTGTGAAGCCTTAGGTGACGAGTGCCTGTTCTCGCCGCGTTTGCCGTCCGGTGGAACTTCTTTGATGGCATTCGCAGTTGACTCAGCAGCATCCTGTCGCTCTTGTCTCATTTCTGTCATCTGGCGTTCATTTACTGATGTAGGGATTTCAAAATGACTGTGATTTGGAAATGGGAATCCAAACGGGAATGGCATTTGAAAGTAACGCATTCTATCGACTGGAGACATCAACGCGGTCTGCGCGGCAAGGAGAGGGTTCATTGGTGAGCGAAGCAATTCCGGTGTACTAAGCCATCGACGCATTGCAAGCTGACTGTATTGTTCTCTAGTCAGACAGCAAGGGTTGTGAACATCAAAAGCGTTGCGGATGTGAGGAGCATCCATAGGCATCCCATCAAACCTCGGGAATATGACATCTGGGTACATGAACTCTGGAAACGGGTACAGCGAAGGGATGGGAAGRTGCATACCGCCAAGATTCATTAATCCTCTAGCTGCATCCAGTCTACTGTCGTAGCTACCTGCTGGTCGCCTAGTGACGCTGTCTGCCTTCGATTCATCCGAACCGGACTTTGGTTCYTCTGACACCTCATTACGACTTTCACTCTTAACTTCAGCAATGGGCGGCAAGCTGCTACCACTGAATCCATACGGGTTTTTTCTCATYAACTCGTAGTCGTTGGGCTGAAGTTCGGATGCATCCGCAATGCTTCGTGAACGCTTTCGTGATACCTCGTCGTGATCATTTTCAGGGACAGAAAAGTKTCTTGGYTTCTGCATCATGCTCTGTAATCTKGCCTGACTAGCAGCATACATGCGGTCTCTTGCTTCAGTCTCGATGCTTGATTTGGATGAGTTGGACAAATCACTTATGTCGCTGTGCATTTCTTGATCTGAAAGAGTTGGCTTGATTGGATTCGAAAGAGGTGATGGGTGTCCGGAATCTGAGGAGGCAGTAGGCGATGCAAGGGGGCTGAAGGGAGGTCGTGTGCTTGGATACAAGAAAGGACCAACGTGAGACGGCCGCATCATCGCATGTCCCGGATAAATTGGACGTCTGAAAATAAATATTAGATTCAAATTTATCAGTCCAACACTGTTGGGTTTACTACATTGGATTACACTTAAAATGTACCCCGCAAACAGCTTGTTGCGGATGCTGTTGCGCCAAAATTGTTGACCAGTTAGAACAGTGTTGGCAAAAACAATAAATGCTTGACAGATAAAAACATTTCTTTTGTTTTGTCACTATGTATGGAGTAATTTACAATAATGATGTCATGTGTGTTTTGGTGTATAATAATATACTTGAAAAAATACTCAATTCTGATTGGCTGATAACATCTCAATTAATTCTTAATTCAGTGCAATTACATTACAATGGTTTATCAACAAGTCTTAATGCTATTAAAACATTTACCTGTTTCCTAACGGATCGCTGGTACTTCGTTCCATTCTTTTTTGTGCGGTCAATGCGACTTCCTTTTTAACAGACGAGCCTGCCGACCCATTGCTGACATTCTGYGCTGGAGAACAAATTGCAAAAAGACCGTACTCCACTACATCGTTGTCTCTTTTCCTCGTCTGGATTGCGCGCAGACGACCACATAAACGAAACAGCTGAAAGGAACGAGTTGCTTGTCATAAAAATTGTTCACAAATCACTCCACAAACAAAACATTTACTTCCCAAGTGACAGAAATTGCTGGAACAAGATGCAAAATAGTACTTATTTTTAACCGATTATTCACTGGTAATTAAGCAATAACAACACATTTTCGTGCGTTCCTAGTGAAATAAACCACGCGGGATGCTGGGAGAACACCAAAAAGGTGGAAAAATCTCGAGCCGGAGGCGAGAGATTTTCAGCAATTTGAGTGTTTTCCCAATATCCGAAGTTGTTGTTTATTGCTTTTATATTAAAGCATTTTCGCATCCGTGCGTTTACCGACGAAATAAACAATAACATTTGACCAATCAGAGAGCGCGTACTAGGATAGCTATAATATAAGAATAGCGTATTCAAAGACCGAAATGCTTTATTGGTTATTGTATTGCCGTTCAAAAKGATTTTTTCRTGACTATAGCAGCTCCCTTCMATAGAAAGCAAWTAAGCCTAGAATTGTCATTTTGCAGCGCAGCTAACGCGGAATCTTGCAATTTCACTATTYAGTGTTATAGGATTCAGTGTTCAACATTTTCTGAAAACTTGAATATGTTGTTAATATAAAWGAAAATTTTACTTGCTGTGTAGTTAATTTACAATAATATTGACGAATAAAATRTTTCTCACTGTGAAATACCTTGTAAAAGCCGCCGCCATGGTTTAAAGTGCAYTTCATCCGACAAGTAAACGATCGATTTAGTTTTTCCATTTCATTGATGTCAGGTTTTTCATTATCTGCCCGACTTGACGTCGAGTCTCTCCGTCTTGCCGACTCTGTTTCAATCTAGACAAAAGACGATTCTTTATATAGCGGTGCTTTACAACACGAGAATAACTACTATTAATAAGCATGCTCGGTACTCGCGCACTTCACTACAGCCAACACAGAGAGTCCTGGC